GCATATCTTATGATTTCTACGGGATGTATCTTAACTGTACGTTTTGTCTACATTTTTGCTGTATTTAATCTGATCTTTACTGCAACTGTTTATTATGTGTATTATTTTATCGTGGTTTTTCCTTGTGTACGATTCATATGATAACAAATTCTTTTTATTTAACACGATCTTTAATGATATAATAGTGCAAAAAGTACATAGTTGCAATGTGTATACATTTCAAATTGGAGTATTGCACTTTTACAACAATTTTGTCTTTTTCATATATTTCCATTATTTGGGGTGTTATATTAGTGTATATGAGTATCTACATATTTAATATTAAGCTTGCCATTTTCAACTGTTTATCACTAATATTGAATATTATCAATGATGCATACAGCATTAAAAATTTCTGCGAGAAATAAAAATAATTTATAATAATATTAAAATAATTATGCAATTAAAAGAAACAAAATTGCATTTTTAATAAAACATGTTATTTAATAATTATATGAAAACATACCAAAAATTGAGTATTTTTTAAATTCTTGCCAATAATTTAAATAAAAATTACAAAAAATCGCAATTAAAATAAAATTAAAAAATTTAGAAAATCTTAAACAGGAATTTAGTAACAGTTTTAAAATTGTGAGTACATAAAAACTATATATAAGATAACTGATATTATAAAAAAATTTTAAATGTGATTAGTTATTATACATTCAATTTTACCGTATAAACTTAGAGCTGACGTTTCTTTACTTTTTTATGTATTCTAACAATAAAAATTGTAAAACAAAGTAGAAGTTAAGCAAGAAATAGAAACAAAAAAAGTTTAAGAATGACAAAAGAATAGCGAAATAATTAATTATCTATATCAGCAAGCAAATCAAGGTAATACAAGTTTGTACAAAACACTTTTTAACAGAATTAAGGGTGGAAGTTCTATATTCGACAGAAAAAGAAGAAGAAAATGAACGAAGCATGAGTAAAAGAGGAAGAAAGTTATCGTAAAGGCAGAATGAGAAGCTGTAGGACGAGATAATGGTCTGTATTGCATGGCTGTTGATGTTTGAAAGGGAAGCTAAATAAGCGCGAATACCTCGCGGCGAGTGCCAAAACAACAAAGCCATTGTTCGTCGTTAATCACCGATCTGCCATCAAACAACCACAAAGAACGAATTGCCTGAAACTTGAGAACCAGATCATGGCAACTACTTCGACTATTCCGCGTTTTTCTTTTTGAAATAGCTTAACTTGACTGCGTCTTGATTTGGCGCATTCTGTATTGCTATATATTTTTATAAATACACAGTTGGAAAATTTGTGTTAAATTTAACACATTTTATGTGTCATAAATAGACCACTTAAATTTTTGTGTTAATTTGACAGAAGATGGAATATGTTGGAAATTAATACAAAAATTTTAACAAGGACCGACTTTAACACAAATACAAAATATTTTGTACTAAATGCACATTGTTTTTGCGAAAAAAAGACGAAACGAACAAAAATTAATATGAATGAAATCATACGAATAAACAGTAGAAGTTTGCTTTTATATTATCTAATCATAAATAAATTAGATTTCAGTAGAAAGGAATAAGAAAATAGAGAACAAAATCTATCCAGAGAAAGAAGTTCTTTACGATCAGTTCAGCTTTACGTAATATAAAAATAAGAATTGTGCAATTGCTATAGAAATAACAGCTTGATAGAATTTTTTTTTATGAACATAATCAATAATTATTTCCTGTTTATTTCCGTTATAATTTTCTCATATTATTCACAATCAGACGCCAAGACTGAAAATTGTGTTGGTAGTACTGCAAAATATTAATAATAAAAAACACTCGCATTTCGATTATTTCCGTATTATAAGTGCTATGTAATAGTGGAATTATACAAATGCAAATAGGGTATGATGATAACGTTGTTGTAATGTTATTATTTCGAACTGGCGTCAGCCGGTCGGTGTAATTTAGCGAATCAATTACAACGAAACGATTAGACTATCTCTCAGCGGCAATAACATATAACGACGGCACATCTGTAATGTTACGACGGTTATTACCGCGAGACGATTATGGTTGCCATGTTGAGCTGTGCGGAGACATATTGTTCTGTGACAAACACGTACCGATCGTGTAATTGATATCTGTAACAATCCTAATGTCTGTCTCGGGAAATAATACACCTTGCCGGCTGTAATAGTGATTTAAGTTCGATACGGTGTATCTTGCGGAAATTATTATTTATTATAAAAACAAAAATTGTTAAAACGTAAATTATTTTTATTCTTTTATTACATTTTCCTTTGTACTTATAAAATTGCAATTGCAAATAAAATTTACGGATTACTAATGTTATTTTTATATTTTTTTTATAAAATAATGTACATGGAAATATGTAAAAATTTAGTCACATATAGATCTGAAAATAATTGTGTTAAACCATGAAAATAATTGTAGGACGCCCAAGCCAGTCATGTTAGAACGCTAGAATGTCAAAATTTTTTGCAGCATAACTCATTATGCTTGAACATAATTATTTTGATGGTTCAACAAATTATTTTCTGTACCTAACTAAATTAGAAATTCAGCAAAATCGTTCTTTTTGTGTACCTTTACTATTTTGGCATATACTATAGAGGAAATTAAGTGCATTAAATATTTTATGTTTATATAAAAATGCAATAATTTGACTGATATTCAAATGCAAATGATTGATTAATTGAATTGTCTAATGGTACGCGGTAAAATCTGCGAACAGTTCGCAAAAATATGGCTTAAAGCACCGCGTGCCAGAAATCTCTCCCTATCGAAAGTGACAAGCTCGGCTGGGGTGCGGTGATGAGTTACGCAAAATTACCCCCGCATGTGGTTTCGTGTCTCTTCCTCCCACTGTCACAGACAGGAGGATGTGATTCGTGTCGGAATCGACACGAAAGAAGAGCAGAGAATAGATCGGAGGTGACAGAACACAGTGACGTGAGCTATGTGTTGGCGAGACTGTTTGACCATGGCATCCCGTCTGGCTGGCTGCATCTCAACGACCAGCGTAACTTCGTGTCACCGCATTAGAATTAATGCATCCGTTTTTCGTTGGTTTTGGTGGACAGAGCATTCAGAGTACGAAGCACACGTATATACTCGTTATACATTTTGTTTACGTAAATCGAATATTCACAGATTCGCATGTATTTTAATTAAGCTAAAATTTTTGTTCCTGTGTAATATGTTGAAATTGCATTATAAAATTTTGTATGCAAAAATTGGTTTTTGAGATACATAGTAATAACAAATTTTTTAAATAATAAGCACATTCTAAAAGCTGCGATATGTTTGTAATTAAAAATTATTTAATAATACGGTAAAGCACAACAAAACAACAAAATAATAATATAAAAACATGTTTTTTTATCAAAATTTAGACTTTTATATTATAATTTTCGAATTGTTTGAGTTTTTTGATGTCGCTATAATAAAGTTTAAAGAGCAATAGATACATTAATAAGTATTATAATAATGAAAGGTTTATCGGAAAGAATATAAAGATAATAAGATAATAATGACGAGTTATATGTAAAGAAACTAATTGTAATGCTAATGAAATAATATATGCTGAAGTTTCTTGTAAGCCTCATTTGTAAATAAAAAGAGAGAGAGAGAGAATTTGAATAAAATAAAATAATAATAAGATTACTTAAGTACAACACTTGTGAACATTCTTTATTTAATCCTTATTTAACTTTGATAAATGTCAAGAATGAAATGATTCCAAGAGCATTATGAAAATTGGATTGCAACTCTATATTCTCTTTTGTTTTCTGATTTGATAGACGTCTCCAGATATTCAACTTGATAATGCTTATCATCTTCTGTCGTACGTTCCACTCTGGAGTTATATCAACATGTAGGAAATGGAAGTTAGATTAGTCAGTAGAATATGTTTCATCACAAAATTCAAATGAAATTTTGAGTAGTTTTCAATTATCTTTTCAGTAAACTTGGTGCCAGTGATGCCAGACTGCAGACGCAAGCCAGTAATGCGGACTTGATTGTAGACATAATCAGTAAGGATATTTTATGTCAGTATCTTTGGTTTTCACGTGAAAGTCATGTGATCGCTATTTTAAT